ATTAACACATTCACCTGTATATACATGTTAGCCACTTAGCTTAATCATTTCTGGTGATTACAAACCCTGGAATGTACTTCATACGTTTTTTGCTCACCATCGACGTCTTCACTTTAAGTGTGTGTGTAAGGAGTGGGGTGGAGGGGCCAACACAGAAGGCAGCACCGAAGTCAGTGGAGCAGACAGGTGATGTTTAAACACAGTTATTCAAGTTGACTACAACTGTGGTAATGTACTGTAAATGCAGTAAAGCTGCTGAGAGCAGGGAAGTCTTTGCCAGAACCAAAGCATGTCCTGCTGATAATGGTACAGCTGCTCCCCTGAACGGCAAAGGAAGACAGACTAGGACCTAATAGTCCTCCTGGCTCAGTGAGACCAATAACGGAGCTTAGAAGGAAAGTAAATTAATATGTTTGACTCAAAATAGTTTTAATTCTCAGTCCAAAAACCCCCAAAACCAAACAAAACACAACCAAAAATAAAAAGCCGACACATGAGAATTTGCTATCATTGGCAGATTTATGGGGAAGATGGTTAAGTGTGTCTACAATTTATCATGTTGTAAATCGTACCATCCCTGGAGGGAACAAAGTAGGGTTGGAGTTTAAACAAAGGACTTGTATGCGTCATTCATCACAGTGCACATATCCTTAACTATATCTTAAAAAGGCACCCCTCAAAGTCCAGCAAGTATAACAGAAAGTTTACTTCCATTTGGTCTTCTGTTTCAGATCTTTCTCCTTTTTTCATAATTCCTTCATATTCAGATTTCTGGATTATTTTCCATTCCAGTTCAGAGAGTTTTTTCTTGTTTAAACACGTGCAAATACATTTACAAACATAAATACATCCTTACATTTGAGCAAGTTAAAAGTCATATAGCAGCTAAACATTAGTTAAGTCCATTATATATAATTTCTGCACTCTGCCAACCTTTCTTTGCTTAACAAGCCCCACATTACGCAGCTGTGCCCCATCTGAACTGCTCTGGTCAGTGTTGGTAGGCAGGCCTGCCTTACCAGCTACAGGTCATGGTTAGGAAATTGCAGCTTCCCAGACACATGTCCCCAGTCCCCAAATTGAGGTAGAAGACCATAACCCAGTTTGTTACTATAACCAGTAAGCAGACTAACTTCACTTCAGATGTCTCAAGAGTTCAAGTACCCAGCTGCTAATTCTGATCCTGGTAATATTATAATTAAGTGTATCCTTATTCTGTTGCATATTGACCCTTATAAATAACATAACTCATTATTGGTCATTGGCCTTTTTCTGTGGGTCTCTCTGTCTACAGTAACTTTAAAGTGTACTTTATTGGGTTCAGGTGACTGACTTGGTCATTGACGAAGATCTCATTTCTTTGCATTGAGAAATTCTTGTGCTTTTGCAGTATGTTTTGGGTCATTATCACTTTGCTCTATGAATTACTGTCTGATCAGTTTTTCAGCAGAATACCGAGCAGAGTATAAACCTGTACACTTTATAATTAATCCTACTACTTTTATCAACTGTTGGGTCATCAGCAAACAATAGTAACTGGCAACACCTGCCCATCTCATAACAATGCCTCTACCATGTTAGATAATGTGTTATGCTTTGGAAGTTCTTTATTTCCTTCTCCATATTTTTTCCCTATCATTCTAGGACACATTAATCTCCCCTTTTTTCTTCAGAGCAGGTTCCTTAAGATGTTTTTTTTGTTGTTGTCTTCTATGGTCTTTTGAGCCTAATTATGCCTTCTCTCACTTGCAGTGACATCTCTTTGGGTTTCATATTTAAAATTACAGTGAAAAGCTATTTTTTTAAAAAACCCAACTTCCTGTCAGTCACTTGTTCAAATAATTTTGAGCCACTTGAAACAGGTGGGCCATGTATGAAAGTGCAATTATTAAACAGTTACTGGAAAAAAGAAAAAATATTGAAAAACCATCTTTAATTAACAGTTCACTTCAATCACATCTTAATTGTTTGATTTAAATCCAATGTGATTACAGAGGGAAAACTACAAAAAATCATTTCTTTGTCCAACAAATTAAGGAACTGTATTAAAGAACTGTATTATCATTCAACACATGAAATAACAATGATCCACTCCAGGGAATGCTATTTTCAATTTCAGTGAACTCCTTTCATGATGTGATAATATCATGTTATCATTTACATAACCGTTCAGAATACCTGTAATTAAAAACTGGCAAATGTTATTTGAATTAGGGCTCGGGTTTCAGGTAAAGCATGACAGTTGAACCGAGTTTGTTGCAATGATTGTTGAATTAGGAGACAATGAGATTATTTATCTAAATTAAAATCTTTTATATTTTACCATTTATGGAACATGTCTGAGTCATTTCTAGATTAAAACTAACACTATATTTATTTCAGCTTTAAGCCACAACGGTTTGATAGTGGGTCAGTCCAGTAACAGTCTGGCTTGCTGAATGTTGACAAGCATTAATTGCTGTTTTGGGAAAACTACACGCCCACATGAAATTTAGCACAAGTAAAGCAATTTTTCTGTCTCCATGACTGATTATATAAGGGATGGACTTATGACCATGACAAAATTTAAAACTGATCCTATTCTTTAAAAAAAAGAATCATCAACACAGACAAAAAAATATTGTCTTTTTGAAAATATAGCAACATTGTCACAGCTGAAATCATGTCGCTACAATAAGAAAACTGAATAATGACAAGCAGATAAATCTTCTTCAGTTAAATAAGAATATAAATTTATCCCGAAGCAAGAAAGCAAAATTTAAAACAACAGTTTTGTTTCCTTGATGTTTTCAGAAACATATGATTACAAAAGAAACAAGGCAAGAAATTATTTTGTCCTGGCTATATTTGAACTAATGCCAGGACAGTAACCACATTAGCAGGCATAGTTTATTTTATTAAAAAAAACAAAAAAAAACCCCACACAAAACGCAAGCAGCTGATTGTTGGTATTTCAGCCCACACCTGTCTGTTCTTTTATAAGTTTTATATTCCCCATCGAACAGCTGTTTCTAATAAGGATAATAACGTATATAGTTATTTATAGTCAGCCTCATTCATCAGACCTGCAGAAGCAACCTGTAGTGAAGTTGGCTAAACTCACTTTGAACTCATGAGCTAGTAGTTACTGAGGTTCGCTGTAAATTGGTAGGACTGGGATTAAAATAAAAATTCTGACATTGAAAACCTTTTAATATTTGAATTCTGTTGTGGGTTTTTTGCTTTTGTTTTTTAAATGTTACTAAGGTTAAAACAAGCGTGAGTCAGTGTGTTGGTGGAATAGCAGAAGATTTTTGGTTTGGTTCAGTTTGCAGTATTTCTGCAACATGACTGATTATTGCTCGTACTGGTTCTTTCTGACTGTTGATTCTTTCTGGTTGTTTGTAACAAGACTTACGTGAGACTGTGAGATCAGGATGCGATGGTGAATCGAGCAACGTGGTGACAAACCTTTCAGTGTATAAGCCTGATGGTATTATGCAATTGGATCTTTTAAGTATCTAAAGTGATTCATCTGCTAAAGTATCAGCAGTGATTCAGCACTAGAATTATTCTCCTTCATTGTCACTCTTTGCTATAAATCCTGTATTCTATTATCAGTGACCTCAGTCCACTTCCACTGAAGTTGAACCACATAAATGGGCCAGGAGAAATCATTTGGCACTGCCTCTTGGAGTGTCTCACTGTGAAATACTGGACCCCACTTTCGCCTCTGATGGAGCATGCTTGTGAATAGAAGTGGGTAATCAAAATGTCTCTTTTTAAAAAAAAGAAAGAAAGAAAAGAAAAGGTTCTGACAGGTTTAAAAACTGATGATCTGTGTATCCACACTTCTCTATCAGCTCAGCGTAGAGATAATCTTCTCATAATATACATAACGCTTATCTGTGAAGACCGCGTTTATTTTTGAGCAATTTAGTTTTGACAAGGAAAATGTGAGACCTAAATGGCTTTTTCCTTTGAAAGTGAAACATAAAATGATTCTTTAAAGGAGGATTTATTTGGGAAAGTAGAAAATAGAACATCCCAAGAATGCTAGAGTGCAGATTTTTTATGAGTCACATATATAACGTGTCCTTTAAACAACGAATTATTTATATATTTACTGATATTTTCTCATAAAGCACGTCAATGATGATTGGTTTAAACCTTCACAGTTAAACCAATTTGCACAGTTTGATGGCTTCACTGAGCACTGAGTTGGTGATCAGTGTGTTCAATAAAAAGCATTAGCAATATTTTAATAATCAAAATCCTTGAGGAAGGCATGTACCACAAAAATGGCCAAGAATGGTGTTATCTGAGAAAACGTGTCAATTTAACCCTGAGCAGTTAGTACGTCTGTTTCTGTACATGGATGCCCATTTTGGAAAAAATGTGTGAATTTACTGTCCAAATAATACTTTCAGAGAGAAATACTAAGAGGGCAGCCTGAAAATGCAAAGCAACAGGGACTTTGGAAGAATCTAGGAAGCTCACTGAGGAAACAGTTGTTTGCCTGTTCAGTGACCAGAGAAAGCAACAGGAAATCTTTGTGTTTGATGTTCATGTTTTTCTGATGTTTGTCTCCACCTCTGTCTCCTCCAGTAAAGCAGTCGAATAAAAAAGATAGGTAGTGAGCTAACCCATGCATCACAACACAAGATTTCGTGGACTTTGTTTTTTTATATATACTTTAACTGAAGAGCACCTGTCAGATCAGCCATCAGAGTCATGCAGCACTTCCCTTCTCCTCAGTAAAAAAATCTTCAGTTTTCAGAAGGCGGTTACATTTCCACTCAAAACGATGTCAGAAAAGACTGGACACACAACACCCCTTGCACACCACATCAGACTTGCCTGACATCTCCCTGAAGAAAATAAGTAGCCTTTGTCATGTGCAGCCTAAAGATAAACTTTCTGTCAGAACTGAGCACTGAAGGCTTCCCTCCCTTGCATCTTTCCACCCCAGTCTGCCAGCTTTCAAACACAGCCTTGAAGGTGCACTGCCGCTTTCTTACCTCGTTCTGAAGTTAGCCGGGTGTGGATGCCCGTCATACAAAGATAAAAAGTCATATTCCTCCTCCACAGCGAAAGATTGAAAAACTATATGAATCCTGTTCCCCTCCTCAGCAACAATCACCCAGGTACAGTTCGCTCCATTTGGATATCCATATGGAAAGCCAGGACTTTCTATTGTCCCATTCCTGCCTTTTAAAGTGCCTCCACAAGAATGGATAAAACCTGGAAGGAAAGAGAACAAACACAACATCATTATCCAATGCATATAATGGGTTTGTGTGAGACTCTCAGCTGAAGAATAATAAAGTAAAATGCTCTGCAGCACAGAAACAAAAAGAGTACTTCATTTTGATAAACTTCGTCTGCTGCAAGCGTTCAAGCAGCAATAAATAAAAGAGATATTTTAAACAGGCCTGCACAGAGACAATTCCAAATAGCATTTGTTCATAACAACTGAATGCACCCTATGATGTTCATGTGCAATATTTCTTTAACTGAGATCAAATTGTTTGGAAAATCCCCATTGTTCTCAGCTGGCAGAAGCTACGAGAGAAATCTGGCAACCAGCTGACTAAGAGCCAAGTTTTGTGTTTCCATTTATGATTTCTGTTTTCTTTCAGATCAAATAATGACAATAAAATGCAGAAAGCTGCAGCTGCAGTTATATAAAAAAATGTATAACTGAGGATGCTTTTAAAAAAGATTGTGATGTGTCATTAGAGTCTTTTTATAGGGTCTAAAAGTGCCAGAGATAGGCAACAAGTAAAGTCTTCTGATTTGGTGCTTCAAGCTTTAAACAGCAGATTAGTCATCTGTCTTGCACCAGCTTACTGAGAACTGATACCCTAGACACATTATGTTAAACCTCATACCATCACTGTCAAGCTACAGTAATCTGGTTGCTTTGCTAACCTTTGTAGTGTTGATGTAAAGGAACGTAAGTGCCACTACTAAACAACCTTGTTTTCACAATATCACACCTATTCCCTCCACACTTCCACATCCAGAGTACTTCCTTAGTTACACAGAATTGCTCCCATGCACACTGTGTCACAATGCAAAGAGCGTCCCCTTTTCATTTCAGGCTATCTTGCATGTTGTCTAATGAAATGCAAACGTAATTAAGATGCATGGTTTACCCCCCACAATTTACCCCTTGTGTAATTAGCTTTTCACACTTGGTAAGTAAAGGATGTTTTGCATAGTGTGCTGCCCACACACACACACACACACTGCAGTATGGGAAAAAGGCAAACACACAGATCACTTGGCAGTTGTGCCACTGAAATGGCCTCTAACTAGACAGATAATAATCTGGTTGCTTTATAAACTGAAGTGACAAAACAGTTAAAATGTTAAACTGTGAAGCAAAGTAAAAAAATTCATTTCCTTCTTGTCAGACTGTCATTTTGTTACTTTTGAGAAAAGCATGGAAGTTTTGTATAGCTACCAAAACAAGGTCTATTATGAAATATATGATAATGCACTGAAATACTGCATTTTTCAGCAGTTTTTACTCAACGGGGTCATGACCCAGCAAAGCACAGGGGTTCTGGCCTAGAATCCCAGAACCGTACATCTTCAAGCATATACTGTGCACCCTGACCCGTGTTCATTTTTATGTAATCTCTTGTGATTTTCTGATAGAAACAGTTACAAACATAGTGTGTCAGTAGAGTTCTATATGTAATGCATAAAATAAAATGTCTGGTGATGAGCTGCTGTTCTAAATGCAGAGGAGACAAATTCTTGCCAAGATTTGTTGCATATCTAAGTTGCAATTATTTCCGCCAGCACAGAGCAAACTGGGTAATCATGGCAAATTTGGACCATTGATGCGCCACCTACAGGGTCAACATGATCCAACCTGTGACATGGTGCTTTATGTGCATTCAAGCACTCTTGGGAATATCATAAATTGCCAGAACAGCACTCATCAATGAGCCACCAAAGTTATGAGCATGGGTGGAAAAATGTGGATTTTTGATGGCACATCAGGACCAGAAATCTGCCAGCATGACATACACGTCTGGCCAATAAGTAATGTGATATTTGTAGGTGCTGTGCTGTTGCATTTTTATGTCTTCCTAAGACAAAATGGTCTAAAAAAAATTTGAGAAGCAGTGTTTGCAGCTGTACTACTGTTGTTTTACATTACAAAGATTTGGTTTGTACAGGGAGAAAATGCATATTAAAGTACTATCCGAATCCTGGTGTCTGGCCCTGTTTCCTTTCCAAGTGATCTCTGCTGTTTTTATGAAAATATTTTTGAATACATTTTGCCAAAATTCCATTTTACCAAGTCATTACCACAGAAAGTCATGCCAAATAAAATTAACATAATGTTCTGTGACCTTCCATTTAGTCTACAAGCTTAGTCTTACACAGAATTATTGACAGGAAAAAGACTTGCGTTGTTGGTTTAAAAGGCTATTCAACAAATTTTATACATAAAGTTTGGGTAATTTGCCTATGCTGTATTCAAAGAGGTCCTGCCATGAGTGGAATATGCACTGTTTAAAATATATAAATATATCTTTACTGATATAGACTGGGTAATGTGTTATATCATTTGATGGAAATGAAAATGATCAACCTACAGAAGGTTGAATTCAAAGACAACCCCCCAAAAAAGAGAAAAAGTGATGTGGCAGGCTAGTCCATTTTTGCCAAAATTTAATTATAGCAACTCAAAATGTTACTCAGTAGTTTGTATGGCCCCCATGTACACAATGCATGCCTGACAATGTCAGGGACCAGAGCGTCACTGCACTTTGAGGTACAATCTTGCAGCATTGGTTGGCTTGAAATATAATGTCCCAGAGATGTCCTGTTGAATTTCAGTCAGGCTACCAGTCAATGCTATCAGTTCCTTCATTCTTGAGAAATTGCTGCATACTCTCACCACATGAGGCCGGGCATTGCTATTCACCAGGAGGAACCCAGAACCCACTGCACCAACATAGGGTCTTAGAATAGGCCCAAACATTCCATCCCAGTACCCAAAGGCAGTCAAACTGCCTAGCCAGTAGAAGTCCCTGCATGGACCACCATCACCGATCATGCTGAACGATGTGACAGACATCATAATGTTCTCTGCCTTTTCTCCAGACGCTTTCATTTCTGTCATCTGCTCAGGGTGCTCATGTGAAAAGCACAGGGCACAGCGGTGGACCTGCCAATTCTGGTATTCTATGGCAAATGCCAGGTGGGCTCCACATTGCCAGGCAGTGACCACAGGGCTCATTAGAAGATGTTAGGGCCTCAAACCACCCTCATGAAGTCTGTTTCTGGTTGTTTATGGCTAAAAAATAAAACTTTAATGGCTGACACAAACAGGCACAAAATAACAAAGTCAAAAACAGTTAAGAAAACAGGAATCCAAATAAATCCATCAATCAATAAACAGGATCCATCCAGTTAAACAGAGAGATTACTCAGTGAGGACAAAAGGAAGTGCAGCATTACTAATGAGAAACAGCAGGCAGAGGAACACATGGTAGCTCAATTAACAACGAGGAGGTGAAAACAGTCAAGGAATCAGGGCACAACAGACAGGAAGTACACAGGACAAAAAAAGAAACAGCCCCTCAAAGTAAAACAGGAAATAGCCGATCGTAACAAGAATACTAATGCTAACCAAGACAAAAATGAAAAAGAACCAAGGCATAAGAGAAAGGCAGGCATTACAGAAACACTGGAGACATGACTCAAAACCAAAGAAAACTAAAACTAAAACTTGTGACTAGAATAGATCTAATAACATAGTGAGAATGGTTGGTGGGATTAAAGTATTTCTGAAGTGGCTGTGGCTCAGGAGGTAGATCAGGTTGTCTACTAATCGGATGGTTGGTGATTCGATCTCTGGATATTCCAGTCTGCATGACAAAGTATCCTTGGGCGAAGATACTGAACCCGGAGTTGCTGCTGATGCGTTCATCGGAGTGTGACTGTTAGACAGAAAGCACTTAAGCATAGAAAAACGAGCTTGTGAGAATGGGAGAATGAGGCTTGTAGTATAGATGGCCTTACTGTTGTTAGGTTTTGCTGCTTTGTCCACTCTGCTGGTGTTATAGTGTGAAATTCCCAACTGTTGCACTAATAAATCTTATCTTATCTCATCTTTGATTGTTCAAGCAAATAGAACACCACTATATAAGTAGCAGTCCCTTTACTATTTTAAAATAGGCTATTAAGTTGCATTATGGGAAATGTGGTAGGTTTCAGTGTTTTGTAACTTGACCTATGCTGTGGACTAAAGTCAGGAGATCTTGTTCTCTGGTGCTTTGATGTTTCACTTTGTGTTACTAAATCACTGGGGTACCTCTTTAAATGTTATAACAAAAAGAATACTGCTGACATTTGATTTGATTTGGGCCGAGTGAGACTGTAAGACAGTCGAGTAAAAATATATAGAGATAGATAGACACAGAATCTTACATCAGTGCTACATAACTACGACTGCTTAAAAGTAAACTAAACTTGAACTATGGAAAGGGCAGCACGCAGTTTTGTACCTGTGTGTTAACAGTGTGTTGAACAGAAGAATAACATAAAAGTGAAGCAGCCTGTACATTTTGTGCTGGTCTTTGACAAACTAACCTGTAAATGGTAAAAGTCTGCTATTATTGCCTCTGTATTGTACCCGCCACCCAAAAGAGCTCTATTTGTCCTTGAATTATTTCAATGTTTGTCAAGCATTAGATGATTAATGTCGCAAACTATTCAGAGTAAAGCTGTTTGTGTGAACTGCTTAGAAGTGTTTGTGTGGCTGATTGTTGTGATGTCCTGGGGATGACAGAACAGATGCTCACTGCCAAGATATCTCTCCCCCCCCTTCTTTCTACCTTTATCTCCCACTTTCTACTCCTCAGCTTTATGTATTCCTTTCATCTGTCATTATCCTTGCTTCAACTCTCAAAACTGTCTCTCGCCATTTGTTATTTTTTTCTCCACCATTGTGTTACAATTTTTCTCCTACTTATGTGTGTCTTATTTGCCTTTTTTAATTCACTTTCCCCTCTGCCAAGAATTGTTCTTTATCTCCTTCCTTCTCAGCAACTCTACCTCTCATCCTCACACCCATATCTATTGGCTCCCTTGTTTTTCCCCTTTTTCCCCCTCAAATGAATTAGAATCCCCCTTTTCAATGCTGTGAATCATACAAGCTTGTAATATGTTAAGCGCTGTCAGCTCCATAAAAGCTGCATCTATAAAAAGAA